AATATACATCTTTTGGCAGTCACCACTCCCCACAGGCTTGCCTGTCTGCTGCTGCCTACTGTATGGCTTCCACCGCAGAAATGATGTGATAACACTAAAACCAATTTGGCACTTTCCACATGAGAGGACGAGTGTATTCCCCACCCTGGAAATGCAGCCTCCAGCTGTCTTGCCCTATGCCAGAGGTTTCTTAATACTCTGGAATTAGCTGACTAAGAGATGAAGCAAACTAACGGAGCATTTGCTATCTGTTCAGGCTGCCTAAGCTTTCCATCAAACAAACTTTGGTTTGATTCTCATCCCTTTGGGAATGGTTGCCCACAGCTAACATTTGCTACCCCAAATAACCCCGTGGTGACCTTTGCTGCAAAGCTGCAGCCAAGAAAAACCCTGTTTAACATAACAGTGCACATCTTAGCACATCAACTTGAACCATCCTGACCTCTGAGCTGCCAGGGTCTGTACAAATTAATTTTCACAATAGACACTGTTGAAAGGAAGGAATGTTTCAAAGGAATTAAAAAAAATCTCCCTTATCCATCTCTTCTCATTTAAGAAATAGTCAGGAGGCCTACTTTAGAAAAATGAAAAGTGCTCCTTGTTGCAAAACAATGGGCTTTATAAAGGGAGGGGGAACTCTTTGGTTTCTTGCATCTTAGCGTGGCAAGATGAAATTTCCCACAAGTGGGTGCTGCTTCTGGAAAATCAGCCTTTAATTTCCACTGGGGAATTGCCTTTATTTCCTGGGATGCCTCAAAGATACCATTGGGGTTTGCCTTTCTTTTTCATAGCTGCTGCTAATACTTCTATTAAGCAAATAATTAAGTCTTCCCTTTCTGCCCACTTCACTGGTTTGTACCTTGCCTCATGTTTTCCAGGGCTTTTGTGTGAATGACCAGACTGGGAAAGGAGAAAAGCCATTTACCTTATGGTAGTTGAACTTAAATCAGTTAATGATTGAAGGAGCCCATCAGAAGGGAGATACATAGGAAAATGAGGTCTTCAGCCTCTGGAGCAAAACAGGCTTATCACTTCTCCTGAAGAGGAAGCTGGAACTGGGTTGGGTTAAGTCTTGAGTATTTCCCCCAGGGGTAGACTTATTCCTCTGCTCCTCCTCTGCAGCAGCTTTGACTCCAGCAGTCTGTAAGTAGGGAGGATTATTACAGCAGGGGGTTGAAGTTGGAGACAATAAGAAATGCTAATGATAATTTAAAAACTTGCGTAGAATTGCTTTAACAGTTTAAAAGCTATATGTTGAGCATAGATAAAAGAGATGGAAGCTTATTCCTGAACCATCCAGTGGTCTTCAGTATTTGCACCCATGAAACCACCTGTTTTCATTTATTTAGCCAATGTAATTAATTGCAATCTTCATTTCTGGCTTCCTACACAAATGCTTTTCTCTTTGCAATTGAGATGTGCTGCTGAAGGCAGCACAGGGCAGGAATCCAAGGGCATCCCCAGATGGTGCTGAGGAAGATACCCCCTTGTGCAGTAGAGGGGTCTGCTCCCAGCAGGAGGATGGTGGGGAGCATGTGGAAGGGCTGCCCTCTCCTCCCAAACATTTTCAAAGCCAGGGACTGTGCGGTGTGAGAAGCTGCAAGGGCTGAGGGGGAGAGGATTGGATGTTTAGTGTAGAGGGAGATAACTGATATTTCTCTGAATTTAGTGCAGCTTTCGACACACAGCCTTCAAGATCCTGTGAGGTTGTAGAGGTTCTCTTACAACAAATACAGTAATGACCTTGAATTTGCTTCCAGCTCAGCTGTACTGCTGGAGGACAAGGCATTTCTTGTGAGCAAAAAACATTAAAGCAGCACAGAGATTTGTCTGCATAGCTCCAGTCTTCAAGAGATTTGGGTATCCTTTCTGAGGCCCCACTTGAAATGAAGAATTGCAGATAAGATTCTGCAGTAGTTAATGTGTAAAGTTTTTGGATTTATTCTCACTGGTGCCTCTTTTTTGCTTGAAATATTGACAAATATACTGTTGGATGCTGTTTTTTTGTTTGACATGGGTATTTTTTTTTTTTTTGCTGCACAAATAATCTAATCATATGCATGCCAATATGTGCATTTGACCAAAATGAGTGTGCTTTCATGACATAAGTGTTGTGGAGGGCTTGGGGGGGGGGGGGCAGATTTTTGTGTGAATGGCCAATAAAAATTATAAAAATAATTTTTATTATTTAAAAATAGTTAATAATGCCTCTCAGTCCTTTTTCAGATTTTAGCCTGAATACTAAGTCTTGACTTCTTATGCTGTGGCAGTCTGCTCTGCCAAACACATATGATCACAGACAATTAGAAATTTGTAGTCTCACACCTGAATATAAAGGCTAAACCTTTATATTTCTTAGAAACTTCTGGTTATAAGATACAACAAAACTTGGAGGGGAGGGAATGTGCAGATTGTTAGACTTATAGATTAAATTGTGTCTGCTACGTGACTCAGTGGAAAATATTAGTGACCTCTTCCTTTATGACTTTGACTTCCTGCAAGCTTATCTGTTAAAAAAATCATGTGAGATGCTTCCATTGCAGATCCTGTAAGAAATGTATATTCAGCAGGAGAAACATCTGACCGAGCAAAGACTAACTTACACAATGGTTTGGAAGCCACATGTTGAAAAGTGCTGGGGAAAGACATCAGGAAAAATGATAAAAAGGGATGAAAGCAGTTCAGATGGATGAAGAATGCTGATTTTAAAATGTGAACCATCTGAACACTGATGAGCAGGCAGGTTGCAATAACTTCAGGGCAGACCTAACTGGCACAACAGCCATATACTGTAAGGCAACTCCCACAGGACATCACCTGCAGTGATTTAAAATTGGAAGGTGTGGGAGTGTTGAGGTACTGCAGAAAGCAATCTTGCAGCAGCAGAGTGCAAGTAGGAAATGGGTCAGTTGGAGTAATATCTTTCTTCTGTGTGGTTTGTGTGAGCTGAGCCAAGCAAACATATGTGGAGCACTGGGTTATCAGAGGCATGATTTTTTTTTTTCATTTATTAGAAATTGCTATGAAATTTGGTCATCCAAGTGTAACTTTATGACTCCTCCCTCTGTTTGGACACTGCCTTGAGCCCCAAAGTCAGCTGTCTTTGTCTAATGTTCTAGGCTTTGTCGAGATCATTAAAATAGACTGTGTTTGGAAACGTAATAGTGTGGTCTCACATTCTCAGGAGGTCAGCAGAAACACAGCCTGAAGTATCTCTGCTAATACCACCTGCGGTTTGTTCTCGCCTCTGCATTGTGGTAGGCGATTTCCCCATCTGTGCTGAAACAACTGCATGTGTGACCACACTGAAGTGGATAAAGGGGCTGACCCAATTTAAAAAAAACTAAACAAAAACACCCCAAGAAAACTCTAACATGTATTTCCCTACTGTATCAGTTCCATACACGGGGGTGTTGGCAGAAGCAGAGGCACAGTGTAGGAATGAAGGACAGAAAGAGAACGTCTTACACTGGGTTACTGCTGGGTTCTTTTTCATGTGAAAACACAGTCTTAGTTACAGCTTTGGTTTAAACTTTGCACTCAGCTTTGATGTACTTCAGCAGCTTGCAGAAAGGTGATAGCATGTGGTGACTGTGGTTTTGGTCCCTCCTGATGGCCAGTGTGAGCAGGCAGTGTGTTATCACAGGTGTGTAAGCTGTTTGGATGTGGTGTGATAAGCCTGAGGCACGGGCTGGTAATGAAATCCAAGCTTCCCCCTGCTCCCATTCCCCTTTGCTGATAACAGCTAGCTGGTACAAGCAACTCTTAAGTCCCAGCATTAAGTCTCCATCAAAACAAATGGGTTAGAAAGAAAACCCCAGAAGAAGGGGCTTGGCTTACTTTTAATTCAGATCGGGTGAGTGATCTGTCACTAATTAGTACACTGAGTTGCACTGGGGTGTAGCTACTGAGGATGAGAGAACGATGACTGTGGTGCAGGGGGTGAATGGTAAGGCTTATGGTGGGGGTTTGCTTCAGTCAGGCTTCTAACTGATAGTCACACCACTTGATTAAGCAAGTAAGTTCGTCTAAGGGCATAGTGTGCTCGATGGTCTAGCAATGCGGTATGTATTTTCCTTGGAACACAGCCCCCTCAGTCAAACTTTGTTTCATTTGGACCATGCATCCCTTCACTAAGGCACAAGCTGTCCAAAACCCCCAGGTATTAGTAGGGCACATATTTCCTGGACTACGTCTGACATTCTCTACCCACTCCCTTTATGTAAATCTCTATCTTATCCTAAAGGAATGTATTTTGATAGTTGTGCCACCCATTCTTTTTTCCAAAATCCAAACCCCTGGCGCCTTGATATGCACAGGTCCTTCATGCATCTTCAGTGTGCATGCAGCATCCATAGCAGAGGTACAGGAGTTGTTCTTACTCGGCTCTGATACTAGGCAAGAAATGATGTAGACACTGGGGCTGTGGCAGTTCATACCAGCTTAGGAAGAGGTTCCCTCTGACCCATTTGTGTGATGCTCTACTCTTCAGCCCCTGATGATGTGCATAGAACACCATCCTTTCCAGGCTGTGGGCAGAGGAGGGCTGCATCTTAGAGCTTGTGCTCCCTGCCTGGTGCCTTTGGAGACAGGCTTGCTCACAGTTCCCCTGCATACGGACTTTCAGTAGTAAAGAGAAGACAGCTTTTGTTGTACCCACTGTGCATGCAGCCAGGCATGGGCTTTGCTTTTTCTCTCTTAATGCTACACTTGGTACAGCAGAAGCAGGCAGGCACATGATCTCCCTGAAGGCAGGATCCAGTATTACTGTAGAAACTGGCCACCAGCTTTTGTAGCTAGCAGCTGTCACGGTGAGGTCACAGCCAAAGCGTGTCACTCCTACAGTGTCTGCAGGCTCTGGAGCTCTCTTTCTGCTACTGAATCCTTTGTGCTGCTGCTTGGAGATTAATTCTGCACCATCTACCAATATGTGTTAAGATATGTTTGAGTTGTATTTTTTTTTTTGAATGACTTTTAATAGCATTTGATGTTCTCTACAGGTTTTATTGTCCTTCACCAATACTTCAAGGCACAGAGGAGCTGGTAAAGGCATTGCCATGAAACCTAACTTGAAGCAATGGAAACAACTCATGCTCTTTGGTATCTTTGCATGGGGCCTGCTTTTCTTGGTGATATTCATCTATTTTACAGATAGCAACACTGCTGAACCAGTTCCAAGTTCCTTTTCTTACATTGAAACTAAGAGACTACTACCCCTTCAAGGAAAGCAGAGAGTCATCATGGGAGCCATTCATGACCCATCATTCTCGGAAACCATTGATGGGAATGAGGTACTTCTTAATGAAGATCTCCTAGGTACTTTTAAATCGGGGACTGTAAATTCTAAGAAATGGACTGTGTTGGAAGAGGCCTTTAGAAATGAAGATGAGTTTTTCCCACCCCAGTTAGGAAGAAACTCAAAGAGTGCTTTCTACCAAGTGAATGATGATTATTTATTTGCTGCTGGTCAGCCTCAGTCACACCTTCAAGAGATAGAAAAATTCATTTCAGCTGACATAAATAATCCAAAAGGAAATATTTTACAGAACAACTGGAGCCATCAGAGAAGAACGAGGAGAAGGAGCACAAAGCATAGGAGAAGCCAGATGTTTGATGAATCTGATGACTGGGATGGGCTGTATTCCACAATGTCGAAATCCTTTCTTTACAAGCTTTGGAAAGGGGATGTCTCTTCCAAGATGCTAAACCCTCGACTGCAGAAGGCGATGAAAGATTATTTGAGTACCAATAAGCATGGGGTGCGGTTCAAGGGGAAACGAAACTCCAAGTTGACAGGAGACCAGCTATTCTGTGAGCTAAAAGAAAGAGTGAATGTGAAAACAATAGATGGCAAGGAGGCTCCCTTCTCCACTCTTGGATGGGAGAAGCACGTTCCCCAAATTCCACTGGTCAAATTATATACACATGGCTTTGGGAGCTGTGCAGTAGTTATGTCTGCTGGTGCAATACTGAACTCCTCCCTAGGGGACGAAATAGGTGGGTGAAATGCATCTATTTGTGTGTGTATATATATGTATATGTGTTTGTTCATGTTTAAATTTCAAAAGGTTCATGCTTCTCAAGCACAGATCTGTAAAGTCTGGTTTTTCTCTATCACTAGAGTTGCCTGAATGTAAACTAATGGACTTCAGTGAGGCTGCTCCCTTTCAGAACAATATAACTGAAAGGAAAACCAGGCCTGAAGTCATAATCTAATTTAAATAAAACAATGATGCCTTCTTATCCTATTACAGCTTGTACTAGAGAGGCAGAACTCTTTTCATCAGATCTGCCATAGTCAACATTTGTGTGCAACATGTGTTTATTTCTTCAGCAGATTAGAGCTGTGTTCAGGTTTTGTTCTGCAAAGCTGTTATACTGGTCTTTATTTTGCAGTAGCTCATGAGAAATTATTGTTGTATGGCTGTCTCAGACATTTGTCTCCATGTCAAGAAGCAGTAGAGTGTTCTCTTCATCTCTTACTGGTTCAGAGTTCACAGACATAAAAAATTCAGACCCTTGAGTAGCTTCATGCACTTAGATCAAGTCCTCTGGCCTCTTTTCTGAGACTGAATTTAAATGAGATCAAGTGTGTTCACCCATTGTTTTCCCATTGCTGCTTTGAGTCAGTGAGGTTACAGGTGTGCTGAGATGTCAGTGTCACTCTGAATCCCCCACCTCAAGGTGGGACTTTGTAGTAGCTATTCAGAAAAGGGTGGTGGGACCATAAAACTAATCCAGGTCACTTTTATTTTTCCTTTTCAAAAATTGCTACTCCTTGTGTTAATGTCTCAGTAGTTCTTCATTTTAGTAGTACATGTGTAGTATGCTCTATGAGTGTTGAAAGAAGGATGAAAGGTTTCAGAACTTGTTTCTGAAACAAGACGAGTTATCTCCTTCAGCTCTCTATAAAAAACCTTTTGATGTTCACTTATTAATCCTCCCCATCTTCCAGGGAGGATTCACATCCCAATACTTGTTTCATCACTCTGTATCATCTCTTTGATACAGATAGGTTTTCTTTAAATCTCTGGGATATGTTGGAGCTTCTAGTATTATCAAACTACTGCAACAGGCTTCCAGCACAGCAGAGGTGCCTAGCTAGCCTGCAGCTAAAATCACACCAGGGTAACTCCTAATTTCATAGGAAGCCTTACTGATGTAGAAATCTTTGGAGTGAAAAAGCTTAGCAGTTCCTACCTTCTCCAGCATGTTGTCTTTGAATGAAATAGAATCTTCTATCAGTGTTCCCCAATACTCCCAGTTTACACCAGTATGGATTAGTGCTGTACTGTAGAATCCACAGTACTTTGTGATGTATTTACATAATTTCATATTACAGCATGCTTCAAGTCATCTTTGTACACTCAGGTGCAGCCCAGGTATGGACTTGGGTGCTTGACATGGTACCGGGGGCCTGCTTGCTCCTGTGTATACCCATTTTCTTAGGAAGCTTCTGGGCACAGAAGCTTATGTCATCTTCTACAGAAGAACTTCAGATTTAAATGGGCAATTGTCATCTGATGCCACCTAAAGGGAGGAAGATTGTGTTTAAAAAAGCCCACATAGAATTTTCAGATCTCATACACGTTGTGCAAGGAGATGTTGAGGAACCAGGAATCACAGAAGGTTTTAAATAAGACTCTCAGGACAGATACCTGTGACTGAGGAGAGGACCTGGCCCAGACAGTAGGGGGCCAAGTGACTGCTTACAGCAATGGTAGACAAGGGAGAACGATTTTAAGCTAAAAAGAGAGGAAACTTAGATGTTAGTTAGAAATTCTTTTCAATGAGAGTTGTGAGGCACTGGAACCGATTGTCCAGAGAAATTGTGGATGCCCCATCCCTGGAAATGTTCAAGGCCAGGTTGGATGGGACTCTGAGCAACCTGGTCTAGTGGAAGTATCCCTGCCCATGACAGGGTGGTTAGAACTAGATGGTCTTAATTGTCCCTCCCCACCCAAACCATTCTGTGATTCTGTGGTTTATTCTCTCAAGAGAGAAAAAAATAATGCCTATGAAAGAAGTAGCGAAGGACATTTCCCTTTATAGGCCTTTAGCTCCCTCTTCTGTGTTCCTATTAGAAACACAAGCAAAAATGTTAATTTGTGTTCTGCCTTGGGCTCTCCTCTCCCCCACCCCTCTGACATTTTTAAATGAAAGAAGGCATGGAAATACTGTGCAAGTATAGCTAGCAAACACTCCCATTGTGATCATGCTATTAATTGAGAGGACCAATTATTTTGGCATCACAGGAAGTAACAGGGATCTGTGATCAAACCCCAAACTTTTTTGGATCTTTAAAATGCTTATCTACAAACACATACTAAGATTAAAATCAGCTTATTTAAAACCAGCTATTTTTGGCAAAGGAGGAGTTTTTCATCTGTATATGAAGAACCAGCATGAATTTTGTTGGAAATGCATCACACTGTCTCTCAATTAAGCTGCAAATCATACAATTCCCATTTCATAATCCAGTTCTCAGTCAACAGATTGTCTAAAAGTTGTCAATCACAGATCCAAATTTATGTTCTTAAATTCATTACAACAAACTTTCATTTTTCTTTTCTTTCTCCAAATATGTGAAGTACCTGCAGCTTCTATTTATTTCCTTTAGTTCCTGCACTATCAAGGTGCTTGGCAAATAAGATCCAGGTGTTGAGGCTAAGGTTGTCCCTGCATGGGGACACAGAGAAAACTTCCACTCCTTAGGTTCTGAAGAGTTGGGTTTGGTGGGCATCTGGCAAAATCCCTCTTTTCAGACATGACATATTAATGATAACATGTATATCTGAGGTCAGACTGCTGGCTGCCACTGTGTTTGCCTGTATGGAGTGAGTACAAGCAGTGCAGAGTAAAAGAGGGAAATGATGGAAGATCCCAGTTTGATGGGATCAAGCCAAGACTCCATTGAGGCATGTTAGTTATCTTTAGAGATTTTGCCTCTTCCAGTTTTTGAGCTAAAGACAACACATTTAAAATTATTAGAGACGAACAGCAGTACAGCCTTACCTGTGGGTTCAGGCATTTCATATTCTCAGCTTCCATGGTCAGAAGGGATAAAAACAGACCACATACCAGCTACCAACAGGGGCCATTGTTTCTAGGCAGTGGATAAAATATCTTGCTCTCCTTCACACCTTTTGGGCTTTGAGATCCCCTTAAAAAAAGCACTGGTAGGGTAATTATCTCTAATCCAACGGAGGCTTGCATGTGGTGTCTACCCTTGACCCATACTTGATCTAGAGCTGCTTTCTCTTCTCCATGACTCTAAGGTCAACTGCTTGTGGAGTAACTTTGACAGTTCAACTCTGTTAGATCTTTGCTACCAAGAGATCCTGAGGTTTCTTTGTGTGAGCAGATGTGTGGGTTGGCTTCCATATAGAGGCTCTTTAAGATTTGCACTGAGCTTGAGAGTAAGTGCACAGTATGATTAATGGATTTGGGGTAGTCTGAGATTTTCAGGTATTATAACGTACTGTGAAACACAAGCTTATAGTTAAGCATTGTTGTTCATTCAAATGTGCAATTAGATATCCCTGCAGTTTACATGCTTTTGCATGGAGTAATTCTCTGTAAATTTTGTGATAGTAGTAGTGAGCAATTGTGTATACTGGGTGTACTAATAGTCTTCCACAGTAAGTCTATCCAATTAAGAGAAGTATTAAAGCATTGCATGCTAAATTAATAGATGATTCTGAACTTTTTTCCCAGTGAGCTTTTACATTAATAACATATGGCAGATGCAAGAGGATTTCTGTTTGCGCATAGCAGAATATTCATCATTCTTAGCATATCCAGATTAGGACAATTGTGTAAGTTTCATATTAGTTTAGATAACTGGTTTTATCTTACTGTTCTGTATACTAAGAAAAGAGAGTTACCCCCTCATTTGTGCTCCTAGATTCTCATGATGCCGTTTTAAGATTTAATTCTGCTCCAACACGTGGCTATGAAAAAGATGTTGGCAATAAAACAACCATGCGGATCATTAATTCTCAGGTAAGATCTTCCTTTTCAGAGTTCAAGTCAATGTCTCTTTTGTACAATATGGCAGCAAGTTAATAACCTCTGAAAAAGTGTTAGGTAATATGGGAAGCAGTTAGTGGTTCAACAGTTGTGATGCAGAGAAGATGAAAGTTTTCCCTTACAGGGGTGTGTGCACTGCTGTCAGTAGAGTGGCTGTATAGCCTCATTTCAGAGAACCAGTTTGTAAAGTTTCTCATATGAACTAAATTGTAAAGGCTCTGCAGGATGCCAGAGAGCTGTCAGTACAGAAGACCTTGACCTCCTGGAAAAGCCATTGCCTCCAGGATTTTCATGAAGCTCAGGCTGTGGTGATTCCAAAGCTGTTCTCTCATATTTTCCAGTTCCTCAATTATTTCCTTGCTTCAAGGCAAAAGAAATGGGAACTGAGTTGTGTAACACTAGGAAAGTCATCATTGTTTAAAAATTTGGAAAGAACGAATAAAAAACTATAGTGTGTACAGGGTATTACACATCAGGTGAGTTTGTTCATCTGAATGGAAACAAGAGGAAATGGGATTTTCTGTGTAGGGGGTGTAAATAATTGTTACTTGAGCTACAGTGACACCTCATGGTTGAGATTAGTTTTTCAAGTTCAAAAATACTATTGCCTGAACTCCTGTCTTGGGCAAACCAAACCTCTTTGCTCTTTATGAAATGCAGACAAAAAAACAGCAACAGAATTTCTGTGAAATTTTACGACATACTGAAATGAATTGACTTAGTCAACACCAGGAGGATGGTTGGCCATGTAGCATGTTCTGCACATACATTGTGCAGATTCTGTTGAAAAAGAGCAAAATTTTCAATACTGTAATTTTTTTGAGTTCATTATTCCTTCTGCTTTGAGTGATTGCCCATGCTAAGTCTGTTCTTGGTGGGTGTTTTTTTATGTGTATAAGCTCATGTTCTTTGCCATCAAAAAGAGAACGGTTAACTGTCATTCCCTTCACACTCATTTTGTAGGTCTTTGTGAGGGTGCAGAACAGACTAGATCTTTGAAGTGATTTGGGTTAAATATGCCCCCTTTCTTTTGTTTGAAAGAAAAAAAGCAGAAATACCTTATTCTGCCTTAAGTGCTGTAATCAGTGTATCAGGGAACATGGACTTTCATGTATTTTATTTTACTTCTTTTGGTTTTGTTGGGTTTTATTTTCCTTTTATTTGATGAATCTTCATTTTACTATTAGCCAAAATGTCCTGACACTGACCATGCCTGAACTCCGGAATTGGGCAATGATAAAGGTTTAGAAACTCTTTATAGTTTACTAGATTCAGTAGGCTCCCTGTAGAAGAGACATTCCCAGGCGGTGATCTGGGCTTTTTAGCTCCCCAGCAAATTCAGAGAGATTGTGGTTAAATTAGGTGCTCTCCATGCAGTGCAGAGTGGGGTCTTCTGGCTCCCAGAGCTGCTGCAGTACATTCCCACTGGGATGGTAGTGGGGGGTCCCGTGGTCCTCTCTTCTGCACTAAGTCTTGCTCCCCATAAGACCTCTCAAGAAAACAGAGAGCAAAGTTCTGGCCAGGTCAGCTCACGTGTCTTTCTCACAAGAGTTTGTATTCCCATCAGCTTTGTGCTCCTTCAGAGAGGTTAGAAGCCATCCATGATGGTCTGTCCACTTGCTGAGAAATTAGCCTTGCCCTCTCCGAGGGTGAAATCTGCATTGCCACTCGATGGAAGTTACTTTCCCTGCCTATACTGTAGCTGGGTTACCTGTACAGATTTACTGACCCTCCTCCCCTCCTCACTGTTGGAAATTCCTGCATTCAGTTAATTAAAAGGCTGCTGTGGCTCCTTCTTCCTTCATATTCTTCACTGTGAAAGCCCAAACGACATGAAGGAGGCCTGTGCAGTGGCAATAGATACTGTTACTGCAGAAAAAGCTCATAGGTATGAATGCAGACTCACTGAAAGTGAAATTTGTGGGGACTGCATCTCCAGAGAACTCTTGCTTACTGAAAGGCAAGTAAGAGCTCCTTTGTGTGGTAAGTGTGGAACCAAGCTTTTAAAATCTTGGCCTTTTGGTCAATTTGCTCTATATACTCAAAAAAGGTGTTTACATTCTGAGGTGAAAATTGTTCTGAGAAATTAAGTTGAGGATACTGATAGCAGCATGACTAATTCTGTTCTTACTGTAGAAGGCTGATGGAAATCATTAAACTCAAAGTTTATAGTAGGAAGAATATTGCTATGGCAACAATATTATTTTTCTGAAGAAAAATATGAATAATTAAATATGGCTCATTGGATCCTAAAGGGAAATGAAAATTATTATGGATTTATTTGTCTGGAATGTTGATTATTTTAACAGCTGGAAGAAAATTCATGCTGTTTTGACCAATGTTGAACTGCCTGGCATTGGATGCACCAGGAATCAAAGAGATCTAGTTAGACATGGAGGGTTCTGGAAGGGGTGAGCCAGCAGGAGTGAAGAGTAGTCTTCCAGTGTGGTGGGATGATCAGGAAAAGTACTGGGAGATGTAAGAAGGAGTTATATGAGAGCAGTAAATTAGAGCAAAATGACAGTTCCTTCAAAAAAAGCCCTGTAACATGCCTGTTGTTTCTCTAGGTATTCCAATTTGTATGGTCATAGTCTAATTTGCATTTTTTTGATTGAAATGACACTGACTTGCTGTTAAAATGAGAAAACCATGAAAAAGGTGGTTGGGGATGGGGGGCAGAGAGAGACATTACTCTTGGGGGCTGTAGCCCTTCAAAGAAAGCTGCTCTGTGTCCAAGAAGATCCTGCAGGCAATCTGAAATAGTTTCATTTTCAAGTTCCAGAATACAAGGTAATGTTGATACACAATAACACAGCATCTCAAGTGGTACCATCACATCCCTCACAGATGGGAGAGTAATTCAGCATACTGCTACTTCAGACTGTAATGAGTGCTGTTTATGGCTAAGCTTTTTTTTTTTTTTTGTATATTTTTTTAACAAAACAAGATGCTTAAAATCAACCAGAACTGAAGCATAATAAGCAGCAGCGTGGGTAGGACTGTTCACTTGAGAGAAGGATTTTGCCATTTTTGTGGATCCCACTTGCTTTTAATGCTGTGGAATTCTTTGCATTTGTGTTTGCAGATTCTCACCAATCCAAACCATCACTTTGTCGACAGTTCCTTGTATAAAGATGTTATCTTAGTAGCCTGGGATCCTGCTCCCTACTCTGCTAATCTGAATGTGGTAAGATATCCACTTGGATCTTTCTTCCCAATCATATGAAAGTACTGGATAAAATTAATTTACTGCTTTAGTCTCCTGGTTCTCCCTTTTCACTATGAGCCTCAGGTTCTGTCTCAGAGTGGAGAATGCTATGTCTGTAGGAATTGGTTTATTGCTCAAAAAACTTTTTAGTAGCCAGCAATTATACTGGAAGGGAGTGTTCTGAGATGCTAGGATAGATGAATGGTGACATTTGTTTGATAAACCATTACTATTTTCACATAACAGTGAGTTTTCTATATGTTTGCCAAGGAGGGAACATTGCTTGATTTCAGAAGTAGGTTTTATCAGGAAAGGTAAAAAACTGCATCCATTTTTTCCCATCTTCCCCTCTGACTTTCCAAACAAAATGCAACATCCTAGTGAAAATCTCTCTGGGTGCCTTCCCCATTTCTCAGGCCTCCTCCCCTCCAGTCTTCCTTTTATGTCCACTCTCCCACAGCCATCTGTGCCCTGCTGTCCACCCCCTGACTGAGAGCAGCAGATGTCCATCTGGTTGTCACTGGGGGAGTCTCTACTTTGGCTGTTGCTGCAGCTCCGGCATAGAAGTTGATCTGATGGCTTTTGGCAGAGGGAGCTCAGAGCTGAGCAGGCTGCAAAGTAGAAAGTAAGCCTTCATCTGCTGAACTCCCTTAGCAACAGATGCCAGAGGCTGCCTGCTTCCCACGCAGGCTGCCATCAGCCTGCGTCATGCGCTGCTGCTGCCTCCGGCAGGGACAGGGACACATTCAGAGGGAGATTCACCCCCAGGCCCAGGTATCATGTCAAAGCTCTTTGAACCTCTTCTTTAATGTGGATCTGTGAAGGAAAAATTGTCTTGGCTCATCCCACAGCAGTCAATTACTTATTGGGAGTCTCTGTATGAAGAGAAGAAACAGAATAGCCCAGAGTGAGGAATGCCTTTCTAGCAGAAGTATCCACCAGTGCAGGCTGCCTTGCTACCTTTGCTTCTGTTCTGCAGAACCCAAATGAAACAAATTTATGCTATGGTACATGTAGTTTTCAAAACATGTTTCTTACTATTAAAAAACATGTGATTTTTTTCCTCCCAGTGGTATAAGAAGCCAGACTACAATCTATTCACTCCCTACGTACAGCATCGCAGGAAGAATCCAACCCAGCCATTCTACATCCTCCATCCAAAGTTTATATGGCAGCTCTGGGACATCATTCAGGAGAACACTAAAGAGAAGATACAGCCCAACCCTCCTTCTTCAGGGTTCATTGGTAGGTGTACCAAAGATGGTCCCAGCAGGCAAGTTAGATTAAAAAAATCATTTCAAATGTATACATTGCATGAGGATCGAGTCCATAAATGTGTACTGTGCTTTATACAGAAACAATGACTAGTAGAAACACACAGTATGAAAACTAGAAAATAGTTGAGTGAATTTGTTCTGCTTTTCTTGCCCTTTACATCCATAGTATGTCTACCATATCTATAAAATATGCATATATCTATGAGAAATTTTTATTATTCCATATTAATTTACTTTTTGAGGACCTAGTTAGTTCTGAAGTTCCTCTTTGGAATCTCAGAGCAGAGAATACTCAGACAACAAATGAAAGCAGATGGTAGATCACGTAGACTGGGTGAAATCAATGGCAGGCTGAGCTATATTCCCTACATTGGCCAAAGGTTTCAGTGCTCAGACTGAGCACTTTTCTTCTTCACTGGAAGCAATAGTGATTTGCTGTATTTTTTGGTCCTTCCTTAGTATTTCTGGGGGGATAATTTGGCACTCTGCCCACAATTCATACAGGAGAACAACTTATCTGATGTACAGCAGGTCCTGACTGTGGACAGGTCTAAAGGATGCAAGTAGGCAGAGTGGCAAGGCTGAGTCAGGGTCATCCTGGCTTATGCTTCTAGACTCACAGGGAAGTAGAGTTTTAAATACCATCTTCCACTTTGGAAACTCCATCCTTTCTTCACTGACACTATGATATTGATCTAGGTATTTGCTGCAGTCAGAAAATGGTATGGATGCAGAAGCTCCCATAAGGAGAATATAAATTTTTCTGGGAGACCTTTATGCCTTGAGCGGATTGTTCATACCGGAAGATGAGTGGAAAGTAAAGGAGGCCTGGTGTGTTGTCAGAGGGGATCTTGGCAGTTGGTTACTTCTTGAAGTGAGGTTTTTTTGGAACCTGCTTGTAAAAATTGACAGGGAGAAGACAGCTCATGTGGAATGATCTCACCAGCTGCATTTTGCAGAAGTGTTTCTTGTAGCAATAAAGTTGTTGATAAAAATAGGTTAACAGCTGCTGATTGTAAGAATATTGAAGAGGATCATTGTGCTGTCAAGTCTGTACTTCCACCATACATAAGAAACAGTTCAAAACCTTTCTTTGAAGAAATGGAATTAATTTCACTATGAGAATAGAACAACAATCTTCAATCCCAAATCTAAAAGTTAGTGACAAAAAATATCCTTCAAGCAGAGAAAGCTTTGAAAATATAAACGATTAAACAAGCAAAATTTTAACAACAAAAGTTGTAAAGATAAATATACTCTGTGTACAGATGCAAATTTGCCTTCTTCTCTAGTGGGAATTTTATTTATTTGTCCTTTTCCAAGGAGCAGTGCTTTTCGGTAAGCTTTTAATAACTTTAAAGAAACAAGGTATTAAGATGAGCTTATTGGATCTACCCCATTTCATAACTACCAACTGTCCTGATAGATGTATTTTAAATATTTTATTAGGGAGAGTCTTTCTGTTTTGATAACCTTATTGAATTAATGTCTATGCATTGTACATGTAACATAATCTAAATACAGAAGTAGCACAGAAACAGCAAATGCATATTGCCAGGGACATAAAGGGCAAGATAGAGCATAAAAATATAATACAGCTTGGCAGAAAGCTGAAAAATCATGTTGGTCTTCAGTTCAGGTATCTCTCAATCACTCATGCAGCAAATAATCCTGTTAGAACTGAAGCTGGCAGACACAGCTAGTGTACCTGTATGAAAGAGGTATGCTGAATATTGAGCTTCTACCTGATCTTATAAAATCTATAAAATTATTTCTTATAGAATTAGTAGAAAGGATAAGTGATGTCCATCATAAAATGCAAGTGTCCTAATTTCAAGAAGAGAAAATAATTTATTAAATTACCACACTACTAAATGCCACTGTGTTTAAAACAGCTATATGAAGGAAAATATGCTGGTTTTAAATAGAGGACCTGAATTTTTACAGAGATATACATTCCTGAATCTGAGCAATTTCTAGCATGGACCATGATGATTCTGATAATATAGAAAAGATTACAAAAATGGTTCTGAGTAAATGGAGGCATTTTTATTTCAAGCTTTTTGGCTTCCGTTAGGCCCAGTTTACAAAACTGGACAAATGTATAAATTAAAACATGGAAACATCAGAATGTTTCTTTACACAAATGTCAAGAATGTTTTAGCATGGTCTTACAATGTTTCTTCAGCAATTATGTTTTTCTCATGACAATTTTATCTATTCCTACCCCTTAACACTATTTATAAGAAACTGAATCTTGCCAAAGGGAGGATGTTGGTGGAATGTGTCTTCAAGGTATTCTTCTGCAGCAGTGAGTCAGCATCCTTCCACAGTGTCTTAGATCAGGGGAATCTTTTAGCATTGTTAATAACGGTATTACAGTACTTAAGTCACAATATTATTAAATCTCTCAGAAAGGGAGCCAGAGGGGAAGAGGTAGCCTCTCATATGCTTTGATTTTAGAGGAATGAGAGAGAAGAGGTAGAACTTCTCCCCTGTTTTTTTCACTGCATAGAAGCTAGGGAAAATATTGGTTTTTGCACTTCTTTGGGGTATAGGCTGCCCCTTATCCACATCAATTCTGCCTGGACCCCCTGCCTCCTTGAAACCCTGCTACATCAGCTCTGCACAGCTCAGTGTTGCTGAGGAGAGGCAGTAGCATTTGACAGCTGGCGGCTAGGTGAGGAAAGCACAGGGCGTGTCCCAGCTGCGGAGGGGAAACAGGAGGATGGGAAGAGCAGGATTAATTGAGGGACGAGGGGATGGTGTGTGGGTCAAGGTCCAAGAGAGTAAAGCAACCTTTTGATTTTAATCTGGGAGTCTCTTTTGGTTTGTTTGCTGAGACACCAGCATGGACTTCAGCTGGCTTGTAGCTTTGCATTATGTGGCATGTCATAGCTTAGCTAATGTCACTCCTCATAATAAACCATTTACTTTTTGTTTTCCTAGTCTAATCCTTATAAGAGCTTTGAGAAGCCTTTCCTTCATATTTTTGCATTGATTTTGCAGCTGCTGCCTTCATGCTTCTAAACAAATTTCTGCACAGTATTCACATCATCTTGCATTAACATTAGGCAATTGCCATGGTGGCTTTTCACATTTAAAGTTTCTGGTTCACATTTGGCTGAAAATAAATTTGCTAAATGAGTACTGATATGTTTACATATCATCTGGGACTTGGATCTATGCCATTTTTCTTGGAAGATATATAAGCATCCAACCACTAAACCTCAGACTTGGATTTTACTGGCAAATCCTAAATTAGCACTGTTGCTAGGGAAGGATTTGCCCTACCTTTTGGTAACAGAAGTCACCTCACTTCCTGTTAATAAATCTTTCATCGTAAAATGTGAACTCAGTCTTCCTCCTGTCTTTCTGTACATATCAAACTTAGTTTTTAATTGAATCTGATAATATATAAAGTGTCAGTCTCTACTCTTACTGTTCTGCTGTAAGAATTGACTGTTCTTGTACCCTCTTTGGTAGCCAATGCAAATAGCCTATTTTGACCTTAAATGTTTGTCATCTGAAGAGCAACAGTAAAACTGCAGAGTTTCCCAAGAGCAGCATTCTGTGCTCATTGGATGGGATGGTACATTAGCATTAGGAAATTCTGAGAGATTTTTAATAATGTCGAGATCATATAAAGGCTTTTCTGTGGAGATTTTGCTCCTGTCCACTGTTTACTTAGTGGATTTTCTATAAACTGCTACTTAGCATAGTCTATCAGTACACTTTGCTGATTTACCTCTTCAGAGGTGACTTTAATTGAAATTCACATTTATGTACTGTTAGAGAGCAGTGGCTTTTATCTTTTTAAAAGCTAGCTGAAAGCTGTGACTGCAGTATTTTGGTTCATTTTCAATCAAAACATGACCTGTGTAGATTCTTACATTTTAGGTTGTCTGTGTAGGTGGTAGTTTTGATATGTGCTCGAAATTTTAGCATAACATACAGTCCACTGAACACAAAATAACTAAGCCCAGATTACTTTATTGCTGGGAGAAGGGAAATGTTATTTGAGGCATTACAGTTGACATTCCAGTTTTAACAGTTATGTAGTAATAGTCGATAACATTTTTTTAATCTTCATTTGCATGCATCAAGACAATAATACAAGCAAGGCTGTCATTACACTGCAACATTAGCAGGTCGTTGTATGACTAAGAACTTAAATTTAAAACAGCTTTGGAGATCACGTTGCATAGCAGTATACAGCTGATCTCCAGCTTTGCTTAGGAAAAAATGCACTTTCATGAACTGAAAGAAACAATTGGACATATTAAGAGTTGCTTTTCTTGCTGTTATTCAGTCGTAACAGCAGTTGGTGCCGGAACAGAATAGTGCTCACTCTTGCCAGCTCAATGTTTTTCAAGTATGACCACACAAATAAATAATACCTCCAATACATAAGCTTCAAATTATTCTTACTCTAATAAAAAGCACACTGAAATTTGAGTATCTCTCACTTCCCAAAATAGAGACATAAAAGAACATACTTGCCTCGTAAATCACATTTTAAAAATTTATTATTCTAGTGTATCACCCAAAATTAAATAATACATTTAGAATTACATTATATTGCTGGTCAGTATTTTCCAGTCTATGCTCATATTACAGAATGTATTATTGTGATTAATGTAGAGCTTTTTGCATTCACAAAGTTATAAATATGTAATTTTCAAGGTCTACTATGTAATGCTAGTATCTATACATCAAAGATGACAAGTATTGCACAAATTATTAAGCTTAGGCACAGGGCCATTTGGTGACAATTCTTTGATAAATAATTTGTTTTTCTTGTGGTTATTATTTTTTACATAGTTCATGAACTAAACAGAAGTGAAAGAACCCTTTTTAAGAAAGAAAGTGCATTAAAAAGTCAGAGCTACTTTTACTGCATGTACCAAAGAAAAACTGAGGCACATTTGGACCGGTTTCAAGGAGTTTCCTGTGGTATCTGCAATC